TATCACGTCTTTTTATTTTAATTAGCTATTATATTTTTAATGCCTTTTCATTTTAATTAACTATTATATTTTTAATTTATTAAGAAATAAAAAATGTAGAATTTTAAAAAAATATCGTAAAGGTATAATAGATATATAATTATATTAAAAAGATGTGACATTAATTATTTAAAATGTAACAGTAACCCAACCCTTTTATGTTATATCACTCAAGTTTTAATAATATCATTTCATAAAATTGTAATGATTTCTTTTTTAATTGTAAGTTTTATCCGGTTAATTGTATTATATTTGAATTAGATTTGATGCTCTTAATCTTCTATTGGGTATTTTTTTTGTTTGGCTCAATTATTTGTTCATGTTGCATCAGAAATTTATTCAATATCTATCTATATATTAAGAGAGAAACTAATTGTCACGCCCCAGAACTAAAATCCGGAGACGTGGCAGACGCCGTACACTCGTGAGACGGGTTTCACAAGTGCACAAGGCTCGGAACTTATCATATTCACACTCTGATACCATCAAAATCTGAAGATTAAATCATAAAATCTCTCTGATATCATAAATCTCCAATAAAATCTCCAAATACAAGATCATGATTCATATCTAAAATTCATATCAAATTACAGTATGACTAGCTTTCTAACTCGTCACTTCCCGTGGTTTCCCCGTCCTCGGTTTCACTTCCTGAAATGGTGGACAAGGAAAAACTATGAGATAAACTTAGTCAGTAAATATGGAGTGCCCATTATTAAACTTATAGCATGCCAACAAGTACAATCACGAAAAACGGATACAGTACGGGCACGAAATAGACGTCTCCTCTATAGGTCATGGCCAGTTCCCACTGGCAGGCAAACAGGAATACTAGTGTATAATCCCCACTAGTAGGGCCACGAGCGAACCGGTCCTATCACGAACATGTCGACATGTGCTAGTGTTTGTAACCTCCCCTACTAGCGGGGTCACGAATAACATGACCACATCGGAGACAAAATAGGCAGAAGTTAACAGAAAAATCACAATTCACAATCACTTTCAGATCATCAGGACAGTCACTTAAATTTCAAGTAGGCATGCTCAATTTAATGAAAAGCATAAAACATTTCACTCCAATTTAGTCATACTTGTATAAAACGGGTTTAGTCCCGCCACCACTTCAAAAACAAATCAAAACATGCTTTTAAAACAGTACGGGCATTACCATAAATTTACTTACCTCACTCGCATAAAACCGAGCACTCAATTCACGTACTAAACTGACAAGACGATCGGGAACCTAATCAAAACACCTCAGAATTAATACCGGACTATCACATATTCAAGGTAAACTCATCATTAGGATCATTCCTAATCACAATGCTATTTCTATAAATCTCCACATTATTAGATATCTCCAAATTCGTTCTCATATCACAAACTAATCACTTAAATTCCCGTTAAATGTTGGCCCTCGGGGTGTGAACAGTACCCGTGAACAGTAACTGCACTCTCCAAAATTGGCCAAACCACTAGCTAATTCACGGGTTTTCTCTCCAACAATCACACAGCAATCAACTCAAGCAATTTACACATGAATTAAGCAACAAAACACACTTAAAATCCCTCTTAATTGCTACCGGAATTTCCCCCATTTTTCTGCAGAATTTCGGACACATAAGGCAGCAAACAAAATGGATAATTTAAGCCTTAAAAGGCTGTCACATACCAGAATTTACAAGCAAGAACCGGACCTAGCAGGGGGAAGAAGCCGGCGGTAGTGCAGGGGAAGCTCACGGGTCTACCCAAAATTGAAGGAAATAAGAGCAATTAAGGTAAACCCAAGCCAATTCAAGCAAGAACAAAGGAATTAGGGGCTGTTTCTTACCCAAAACCGGAGCAAATCACACCCCACAAGCAAGAGCAACCGGCGTACAGGGGAGCAGAGCAAGGCAGATCCGAAAGCTTCATGCAGGGGGGAGAATTCTGGGTTCCAAATCAGGTTCTTGGACAAGAAAAGAAGGGAAAAATCAAGCTTTCTCACCGGTTTTCCAAGGCATGGCTGGGTTCCCTTTCTTTTTTCTTCGGGCGGCTGCAGCGGGAAGACAGAGCAGAACACGCGGGGAAGAAGAAGGAAAGAAAGAAAGAAAAAGGAGAAAAGAAAAGAAGTCATCCTTATCCAAAATCTTTCCCTCTTTAAGTCCCTCAGCTTTCAAAATATTCACATTAGACCTCAAAACAATCTTTTCTCACAATCAAGTCCTTAACTTACACTTCAATATTCCCGAAAATTTGGGATATTACACTAATAAAAGAAAATTATGTTATGTACTCAAATTTTATATCATCCTTAATCTGAGGTACTTTTGACATATTACAAAAGTTTCTTTATTTGGTAATTTGTTTTATAATTGAGTATTTTTTAAGTTGTTGTTTAATGAGATCAATTAATATAAAAGTCCAAAATTATGGCAAAAAAATAAATAAATAAATCCAAAAGCTTAATTAATGTCATGACTACTAGACCCTCAGTATATATTTACTATTATTTTTTGTAATTAAAAATTTTTTAAATCAAAAATTGATAAAAGAGACCAATTATTTGGGTAAACTTATATGAGAAAAGTGTACATTAAAACATTTAATTCCTAATAATAAAAGAAAAATTACTAGATTTATTTATTACACTACTTTTTAAACTAAGTATTTATTATTTTTAAACCCAATTTTTTTAGAATTTAAGAAGAATAATTTTATATTTCAATATTTAAATTTTAACATGAAAAATTAGACATTTAAACTTTAAAGCTTTATAATTTAACATTTAGTTTTATAATTTTAGAGTTTTGGATTTTAAAATTTTAGTGTTCAATCATAAGAATGTAAATGTTAAAATTTTAAAAATTTATGATTTAGAGTTTTAGAATTTAAATTTGGATTAGGATTTAATATTTAATAT